TTGGTCCGGGGGCGGGGGGGGTGTAGTACCGGCATGTCCGACCCGTACACGGCGAATTTCCGCTGCCGTGTGGAGAATAATTAGGTGATAATTGCCGCTAAATTATGCATATTCCAGCAACGCACGGAGCGGTGCACGGCCATTTCCTGCCGTGTACGGGGATGTACAGGGATCGTGTCCGGGCATATAACGTCCAGTACACGACCTGCACACAAAAAGTGGTTCATTTCCGGGAGTGTACAGGACATGTACGGGACTGGACACGTTTCGTGTGCAGGTCGGAAACCCCCGGGTTCTACCGGAAACCTAAAATATCCGGGAAAGTGTGCGGCAATTTCTCACACGGAAACTAGGGATTTTGTGCGGTGTTAATGTCAATGAGGCTCTCAGTAATTGCCTGTGAGTACTAAGTGTTATGAAGTGTCCCTGTCTCACCTTATCTGTGACCTCTGGAAGTTCTTGACAGGACACTTGATGACGACCCGTGTGTTTGGGTAGAGGAAGGCGTCGGCGCCAACCCACACCCGCACCATGGTGCTGTAGGACTTCTGGGTAAAGTTGGCTCGGCGGGGGTAGATCTTAGGGAGCTGCTCTCTCTGGGCTGAGGATGGCTCTGTATGGACAGACAGACAACCTGTCAATTGATTGACTATGCATGCCCTATCAAGTCAGAATTCTGTGTTAAAGATGCTCTATTTGAGTTCTAGCAGGGTTTTAAGATGATCAATCAATCGGTCAATCAATCAATCAACCCACTAAACAAATTTAGTCTAGTTAATTAGCTGACTTGACATGGCCTTCTTGGGCAGGTTTCACTGCATAATAAACTCCAAATTAGAACAACTGGTAAACCTGACCACATGACAACACATCGAATTCATGGCAAGAAAATCTCAGTGATGTGACCTGACCTTTCAGATACAGGGTGAAGCTGTCGTTGACAGGCCCAGCCACGCAGGTGTAGGTCGCCTGGTCCGAGTCTCGGATGCCATCGATTCTCAGCCTCATCTGGTCGTCAATCTGCAGCCTGCCTCCAGGTACCACATCATAGCCATTCTGCTGCCACCTGAGGGTTTAAGTATATTGTGTTACCCTTTTAAGCTCCTTACACTGTAGCTCCTTT